ACAAAAAGAAAAGACAAAAATTAGAAAAACAGTAGTGATTACACTTACATGAAAAATATTTCGAGGGAAAAAAATCCCACGGTCACTTTTTACTAAGCTGAGCTTTTGATACGTGCCAATTTCAAAATATTAGCTTGTTTTAATCGGCACATTTTTCGATTTACTTTTTTAAACGACACTCAGGAAAAGACGGGACAGGCCTTCTTATGCCAAAATCTCGGCCAAAATAAGCTGCGCTTTCAGTGATGTTGGTCATAACCCCTTGATACAACTATTAGCACTCTATGGTCGCGCGTGTTGTATACAAAAACAAGCAGTTCCAACGCCTAAGCGTCGGAGGGCGCTTCTTTGACAAAGCATTTTACTACCAACTTACGTATCCGAAGGCTGACGAAGATGGAATTTAAAGTGGGATTCTTTAACCGCAAAACCCTTCAAAACTTCAGATCGCTAGCGAAGATCTGAAACTTTCCACGAGAACTTTGTGCTGATTATTAATTGGTGGTGAATGGAAACATAAAGGATGCACTGTAAATCAGACGACGGGAAAGAGCGGCGGAACCTCTAAAGCTGGTGCGTCAACGCGATCTAGCGGACAGCGGCGTCGCGGGGGAGCGGGGCCCGGCCGCGTGAAGAGGAGTTCAGCAGCGGGGCGGGGAAGCGCGGGTCGCGGGGAAGAGAGGGACCGGCCGGCCGGCGGTGACATCGGCCATGGATGAAAATATAGGCAGCGCTAATGTCTCCGCTAACTGGAGTTGGGGGTCCTTATTCATTCTCTTGGTCCATGACATAACCTTAAACCTTCCGCTCAATGCCGCAAACAGCTGACGTGTCGATGCTGCGCCAAGAAAATGAACCAATCACAAAGTAGCACAGTAATACGTCACTAAAATGAAGAGATCACGTGACTGTTCGTAATATTTTCAAATCGATCTGAAAGTACTGCCTCGGATATAAGTATTTAAAGCATAAGGAGGCCCTAAAATACTTTAACCAGGTAATACGTCCGTGCGAGATTGTTATGCTTAAAAGCAAAACATTTCACGAAAACTTTTACGAATACCAGATGCAGAAAAAAATCAAATTTTCCCGGGTGTACCAGAATGGCGTCATTACCCATAAGGCAAAAGGGCATGTAGTATAGTACATGTTACATCGGGGGAGTCGAACGGTTGGAAAGGGCGCATCTGGTACCCAGAAGCGCCCAAAATGGAGGGCGCTCCGTCACTCTTGTCCACGAGGCAGTGCAATGCACGCAGCAGCGTGTGGCGTGATGAAAATGTGGCAAGATAAAATTCTCCGATATAAACAAAGGTAGGAGGAGAGGAAACTATTTTCCCGCATCAGTTTTACAAATCAGGATATCATATATTTCACCGCCATACAGAGTCGTGACAGTATGTCACTGCGAGCACTACTTCATGAGCTATAGAACGACCGGAGCTCCTTCAATTTTTAGCATGCAACACGGATGTCTACAGAGGACGAATAGTTGTATCAAGGCCGATAGTTGTATTATTGCCGATATCATAATCTTATGCTCGGTTATCAATTCTAGAACATTGAGGAAAAACGTTATGTGGACTCTCGGGTGTTGTCAAATTTCCTCCGATTAAATACGAATTTCCTGAGAAACTTGTTAGCACTTACTTCATAAATTCTTTGAGAATTTTCCACGCAATTTAATAGAATGATTCTGAAAATTTCAATGATATATACCCCATAATTTCTTCAACAAATAAAAATTCAACGGAGGAAATCTGACAACGTCTTTTTAAAACACAGTTTTTCCGGCGTAGCAGCCGAGCTTGGCATGGGTGGTTTGCATGGGACACTTTCTGTAAACATTGCAACGCTGTACCACGATTGATTGCTAAATCGTATTGTCAACAATTATTATAATCAGATAGACAACGAGACAACAGAGCGATTCTATTGGTGGAAGCGCGTGGTTGCAATGAACAAAAGAGGGAAGTTATGGACTACCTAACGACAACCCACGAAAGATCCTAGAGTTAGTCCACCATTGCCCTTCTTAGTCTACATAACAACCACTCGTTTCAACCAATGGGGCCACTTCATTTTCCCTTTGCCTTCTTTGTCTACCTCTTTTTCCATCGATTTCAATGATTGGTTCGCAGTTGTCAATCCATTCTGCGGGAAACATCCACGGGGTGTCTACTAAAACAGACTGCCCAAAAATCAGTACTATTACAGTGCTTCGTCAATACATTCCCAAGAAATTCAGTACCTCCTTGTAGGGGAAGGGGGAGGGAAGGATGTGCATAACGACAAAAAGAACAAGGAGACAAGTGAAGCCAAGAGGAGGTGCGTGACCATAGCTACATATATATGCCATATATAGGAGAATTGTACACTCCTCAACAGAAAAATTCAGTACTTTTTCAGTACCTCCAATTGACGAAATTCGAAAAATAAAAAAAATTGAATTTCTCGCTCAAATTGATAAAAAATGACAAAAATGTCAAAAATTCCGGACCTTCAAATTGCATCACTTCTTCAGTACTCCCGGGCTCCCTTAAAAAATCAGTGCTATTTCCGGACTTTCTGGAAATTCTGGACTTGTAGACACCGTGCATCTAGGGTGGCAAAATTTCATGAACATTTCGGAAAAAGTGTGGGTTAATTTCGGGTTTCTCGGTGCAGGCGGGAGAAGAGGCCGATTTCCATTGAAACCCCCTTGAACATTCCTCGCGTCAAGAGGTAGGCAAATCTAGAACAGGATCTGTGGGCCATGCTTGGAGGCTCCATTCACTCCGATTTAAGCGACACGATAGCTCAACGGATAACAATGCAGTCATAAACACACCTTGCTCATGCGCTCGCGTCGCGGCATCGCCGCCAGCGCGCATGCCTAATGAATCACCTGTTAAAAATTAAACCCTCTTTTACATGTTTCACCTCGAGGTGCATCAATAGAAAATTGTTTTCCTCTCCTCATCCTCTTTTCCCGTCATTGTGCTCATCACTTTAATAGCGTAAGCCATTTTTGGTAAGAAGCTTCAATGTAGAGTATACCCGTGCCAGTGGCGAGCGGTGAATGATCGATTATGAATATTTCTCCACTTGAAACCATAGTAAAGAATCGATTAATGAGGTTTTCGTTGCGAACACCCTGTTCATCGATCCTTTACCATGGGTTTAAATGACAGATCAATCGATTTATCGCTAAGCAAATCACGCCACTGGCCTGTACTTCCGTCCACGGCAAGAACGCTGGAACTCCATTCATAATTTTGTAATCATCTTCCACATATACTGCTCTATTACAAGGAAACATAGTTGCTACAAGACCTCATTTTGAGTTCCAAATAGTATGCCACAATCGACTTGAAAAATAAAGGATGAATATTTGTTGGTTTTCTTGTGAAACAGCATTTTCTCAGAAGAAAATTAGGTAACTGTTGCATGGAGATACAGCGTTTTTACTTTGGAAGGCACGGTGACAGCACTGCCATGCTAAGGAGGAACGCCGTATGAACCTTCAGGCGTTTCAAAATTTCCTCTGATAAATTACAAATTTCTTGGGGAAATGGTAAATATTTTTCTTCCAGTTTTTCAGAAAATTTTGTTCGCACTTTAATCTAAAATATCTGAAAATTTCAAGGAAAAACATGCATTAATGTCGTCAAAAACACATTTTTTATCTGGGGAAATTTGGCAACTCTCGAATGTTCATACGGCGTTCTTCCTTAGCACGGCAGAGTAACACTCAAACTCTTGATAAAAATTGCTCGAAACATTTCATTGAAAGTCCTGGTCAAGTGAGACTGTAGAATGTAGATAAAGTCTGAAAAAATTTGCGATATTTGCTTGAATGGGCCTGTTGCATGCAACAGATACAGCAGTGCGAATAGAATTTTTAGTGGTTAAATGACACGAAACTTACGATGCTCACATTAAAAAAGTCTGAAATACACTCCTTACTGCGCAATTTGCGTTGTCAGGAACGCGCTTTTTCAAATTTCCCGCGTCTGGGGGCAGTTTTCTAACGGAAACAATTAACGGCAACTCGCGGCTATTTCCGGTCAACTAAAACTGACAACATAACCTAAAAATCGGAGCTCGTGATATCGTGAAATGAAATGTAGAAGGATTGCGTTGGATATTTAAAAGTTGATCGATTTGGTTACTGCATACAGCGTATATGGACCACTATAAGAGATCACGTTGGGTTTGTAAACAAACTGAAGGAAAAAATAACAACAACAACAACGACTCGACATCTTCCGGAAATCACCGAGCCCGCCGTTTGCTCGTTTCCGGTGATTAGAAAACTGCCCCCAGACGCGGGAAATTTGAAAAAGCGCGTTCCTAACAACGCAAATTGCGCAGTAAGGAGTGTATTTCAGACTTTTTTAATGTGACCATCGTAATTTTCGTGTCATTTAACCTCTAAAAAGTCTATTCGCGCGGCTGTATCTCTTGCATGCAACAGGCCCATTCGTAGAATTTGAATAACGTTGTGGGAAAAATGATCTGGTGGTAACTATTAGCTATATTTTACCAAATTAAAACGTAATGCAGTTTAAAAATTTAGTAAAATGTAAAATTTGTGAAGAATTATTGAAAATGTGTATAGAACAATAGAGAATAACGAGCATTGGCGCGGAGGATGAGGGTGAGCTTACAAACAATAATTTTCTTAATTTCCAATATTAGTTTCCATAAATCTTCGCAAATTTACGGACATTTATGGTGGTGCAACTATTCGACCACGTGGAAGCCCATATTGCATACAATAAAAAAAGACGCACTGACATGGTGTTACAGTCACCTCTAAAAGCCCTAAGACAAAAAAAAACGGGATTTTCTGGGGAATTCTGAGTGTTTTTAGCAATCCGAAGATTTAAACGGAGTTGGCTAGGCATTTATAAATTAATGTAGTACATATTTCATTTCAAGTGTATGTAACGTACCAATGACTGCCCACAAAAGTTTACTAAAATAAACCAATTTTTAAACCTAAAAACCTAATTTTTTACACCACAGTTAATTTTATATTTTTAATAATTATAGTAATGATTTCAGTTGCTTTTTTTACTTTGTTAGAACGGAAAATAATTGGATATTCACAATCCCGTAAAGGCCCAAATAAAATTTTAATAGCAGGAATTGCTCAACCAATTGCAGATGCGATAAAGTTAATTTCTAAGGAGATAAACATAAATTATAGTTCAAATTTTGGTATATATACACTAGCCCCCATACTTAATATTATCTGCTCATTAGTAACATGAATTGTTTTTCCACTTAGATATTCATTTAATTTTATGAAGATAGCAGTTCTAATAATACTAAGATGTATAGCATTTAGTGTAGTGACTATCATAATAATAAGATGATCATCAAACTCGAATTATTCCTTTATTGGAATGATCCGAACAATTTCCCAGCTAATCTCGTATGAAATGACCTATAGACCTATGTCGATAGACCTATACGAGGTACAAAGTTAAGCATTCTGATACATGCTTCTGAGCCAAAATTGTACGGAGAACAAGATTCCCGCAACGAAACTTAGTATTATCAAGACCTTGCCAAGATACTTAAGGTGAATCCAGGCTTGGAACTTCGCGATTTGGCCACCACGTCGCGCTGCTCAGAATAGTTGCATATATTTGCCAAAATAAGAAAAACCGTAATACTTATTCAAGATTGGAGATCCAGGGGATGTGGCAACATACTTGAGGAACACTCAGTAAAAAAATCTTCTTAAAATTCCCAAAAATAAAGTCTTAACTACGGCGGAGAGTAATTCCCATTGCGGCAATGGGAGAGAGAGAGAGACAGAACATGAGGGATTCCGTTGCGCGTTCGGCCGCCGCCGCCGAGCTGAAAGTTTCAGCCGTACTTTCTCTGCGCTAGTAATTCTAATTGCCAATATTTTTGGCTCAAAAAATCAAGCAAAAAATAGTCTATATCTTGTGGATCTGCTTTTTGTAATTCGAGGAATATTATTTTATTAATCGTCGAAGGAAAGTGAAATTCTAAGTGGTGACTGGTGGCGCCATCTCTAATCTTGAATTATCCCTAATCGAACCCTGGATTCACCTTAATGTTTCTTGACGCGTAAATTCAAACCTACTGCTCGTGACAAAACAGAAGTCTACGTGGTGAAACGCGCACTGACGCCTACAAACCTAAGGGGATACTTCACGCATTACGCAATGCTTGAAGTATCCCCTTAGGTTTGTAGGGTGTAGGCGTCAGTGCCCGTTTACAAACCTACAAACCTAAGGGGATACTTCACGCATTACGCAATGCTTGAAGTATCCCCTTAGGTTTGTAGGCGTCAGTGCCCGTTTACAAACCTACAAACCTAAGGGGATACTTCACGCATTACGCAATGCTTGAAGTATCCCCTTAGGTTTGTAGGCGTCAGTGCGCGTCAAACTGCGCACTAAGTGTTACCGCAACAGTTACTGCAGAATGAAAATAAGGGGCCCTCAATCTCGGAGCTTCGGCTCAGCTGTTGCACGTTTTCAACTCTCAGAATGACTCAGAGCAAGGGAGGAACACTGATCGAATAAGAAGCTTGCCAAGGCCGTTTTCAAACACGATTTGATTGAAGTAGACTATTTTTCTTCTTATGAGCGGGGAATGCAAAATTTCCTGAACCACTCCTAACCAAAAACGTTAATATCTTATTGTTAGTTCCGAGTTGATTTCAATTATTTTTACTGCGCAAATCGTGTTCTTTGTAAAATTCTGGTTAAGAAACACGTATCAGAATGCTTAAACTACCTTGCCTGCTCCGCCGTGCTAAGGAAAAATGCCGTATGAACCTTCGGGTGTTGCCAAATTTCCTTCGATGAGAAACGAAATTCCTGGAAAATTTTTGGATATTTTTCTCTTAATTTCTTACAGAATAGCATTCACATTTTAATCTACGGTATCTAAAATTTCAAGAATAAATATTTATAACTTTCCTCAAAACTGAACATTTCATTGGAGGAAATTTGGCGACTCTCGAATGCTCTTACGGCGTTCTTCCTTAGCAGGCAGTGCTGGTCCAGTACTAACATCGAAAAAACTGATGTTTCACATCAATCTGAGCATCTTTCGCGATTCAGGTGATAAAAATGAAATTGGAAAACATGTGAAAGACCAGTGCGAGATATTTTCATAGAAAGATAGACTTAACACGTGCTCCACAGATAGACCTCTGAAAGCCTCCACCTTAGTGCTGAAGGATGGGGAGGGGGGGGGGGGGGGAGAGATTTTTTTCCACGAAGCGTATGACTCCGGTCCGAGCACACAACGAAGGGTATTTCAGTTTGACGAAATAATTGGGTCTGTCTGCGTGCCTCCTCTCACTCACATCTATAAAACGTTGACTGGCGCACGGTGGATCGAGTCAATAGGAGAGGTCGGACAAAATTCTGAAACTTTAAAAGCTCATAACTACGTTTATACAAAATTTTGAAGTTCTAGAAGTATTTTCATTGCTTCCTTCGTGAAAAGCTCTTTTAAAAGCACCCCTTAAATTTTAAAATATGACGAAATAAACATCAAAATTTGCAGATTAAGTCAAAAATTTCATGTCCGACCTCTCTAATTGACTCAATCTACTGTGTGGCGCTCTGGCAGTCCACGATTGGCTAATTCAAACTGCTACTGTACGAATTTCAACAGCTTGCTCCAAATATGAAATGTCATCCGCGCTGGAATCGAGTAGCGTTATGTGCCTGTCATAAATTTGGTATGTAACAGAGAAAGCACGGGGAAAAAATAATAGTCTAGTGGGTACTGAACTGTTGTGTTCGCCAAAAATCCGCGCTGTTCAAAATGCAAATAATCTGCTCTCAAATTGAAGATGAATAAAGTCGATTGACTGGAGGGTATGGATTCGATCAACGTGAATCGATCGAAAAATGAAAACGTTAATCGGTCGATATGAATCGATCGACACCGATTCAATCGTCAAATTTTTAAAAAACCGGTGTCGATTCGATCGACATGAATCAATCGACACCGAGTGAATCGATCGACAAACCCGTGAATCAATCGAATTTTGTCGACGGAATCGGTGTCGATTGATTTTCATTGTTCGATCCATTTATGTCGATCGAATCGACACAGGTGTTTTTAAATTAACTGTCGATTAAATCGGTGTCGATTGATTCATGTCGATCGATTCACGTTTTCATTTTTCGATCCATTCATGTCGATGGAATCGGTGTCGATCGATTCACGTTTTCATTTTTCGATCCATTCATGTCGACCGAATCGACACGGGTGTTTTTAAATTAACTGTCACTTGAATCAGTGTCGATTGATTCATGTCGATCGATTCATGTCTTCATTTACCGATCGATTCATGTCGATCGAATCCATGCCCCCTAATTGACTCATGGATCAAGCTTAAGAAGAGGACTCCAACCTGTAGACAATTAAATTATATTTAGAATAAATGTATTGAAATTTAGTCTAAGGCAAATGAAGCTTGAAATTGGCTAGATCTTGTCTTCAATACATGGGAACAGAATATTTTCATTTAAACGGTGTGGTAGGCACGGCTAGAATCCCAGCAGTGTTAACTCGTGTTCGCTTTGGGGCATTTCCATGAGTAAGACTTAGCACCTTGCACATATTTTACGTCGGAATGGCAGCGAATTTTTAAGTTTGATACCTAGAATAAATCGTCCGAATCCGATCCAAAGAATTTAAAGTTTCTAGTGAGACCGATCCTACTTTTCAAGGTTGGCCTAATTGAAAGTTCGTGTCAACAGGGGTGAGCTTTGGGATTCAGCAGAGCCTCTCGGAACACGTGAGACTCCGCGCTGTGGGTTTGGTTCATTCTGAAACGTGCTGTGCTACCTAATTGTTTGCATCGAATTCAGATGATCAAGTCAATCGTGCATGGTTCAAAAATTGGCTTCAATTTGTCTCCCATTCACCGTTGTTTCTGGAATCCCGAGTATTTTCGACGCATGCAGGGTATCGTTCGGTCAATGCAGGGACTAACCAGCAGGGGGATGAGTCCAGTCTGGACTGAACAGTCCATGACCGGAAAATTTCCTTAAAAACCCGTGATTTATCATGATTTTCAGGAACGTTCAAACGTACACTGCTAAAAATTTCGAGCGTTTTTAGTGTGTGGTTCGGCTGTGTGTCAATTTCGCGGTTATTCATCCGGTGGAACATAAAATGTGCTCTCGTTATCCGCGGGTGGGTAAACGGAAAACACAACGTTGCAATCCAGTAACGCACACTTGCGCTTCATGAAGCATATTTTCGGGGCAGGAGAGTCTCTTCCTTCCTCCGAAGGGACAAGGGGGCTCCTTGGAATGCAAAGTTGTGTTTTTTTATACCAGCACGCAGATAATGATGGAGGCAGTAAGCTCGGGTTTCTTCGGACAAATGACCGAAATAAACATACCGGCGTGTTCAGATATTTTTAACGGAGTATGACCCCCCCCCTCCAACCTCTATGAAAAATGTCTGGGTACGCGACTGACCAGAGATGAGAAAGCCTCCACTGGCTTCTTGGCGACAGTAGAAACTTTTACTTTCGGGGATTCAACACTTCCTTGTGAACGGTTGTAAGGCAGCAAACCTTATCAAACCTACTAGGGGGGTTATGAGCTTCGGGTGACTTCATGAACCAAACGAGTTCAGCAAACTTCGGTTTGTTTGCAAAACGAAATACTCAACACGTTGTTCAGCATCCACCTGACAGAGGGGTTAACACAGTTGAATGTTGGAGTCCCGAAAGTAGAAGCTTCCACCATTGCATAAATACCAACGGAGGGTCTCTTGTCTCCGCGACTGACTGTCGATGAGAGTTCAAGGTTGCCACAGAATTTAGAAAATGAAATTCCCTGACATTTTCCTGATTTCCCTAACACATTTTGGTGGGATTCCCTGCTCTGGTAAAATTTGGCGATAGGAGCTGCGTTTCAAAATACCATAGAAGTTCTTATAGCCGACTGAAGAAGGCGATAGAAAATCATACAGCTGGCTGTAGAAAGTGGGAAAAATCATACGGCCGGGCTACACGAAGCGATAAAAAATTATAAAACCGGGCTATAATTCCTATCGCCGGACTTTACACTTTATCGCCTGGCTGTTGCTTTTTCGCCATCGGCTATAAAAGGCTATAAGAAATTGTGTAGAAATTCCTAAGTTCGCACGGAATCACCTTAATATTTACAAGACGCACATTATATTTTCCTTTACTACATATTTTTTTTCATCAATTAAAATGAGAATATTCCATACAGAGTGTGCAAACTGAAAGTAATGAGTTGAAAAACGTTGACTCCACAAGATTAAATAATAGAGCCTTACATACAGCGGAGCGGCACGCGGCGGCGCACTGGCACCTACAAACCTACCAGGGATACTTCACTTCACGCAATGCGTGAAGTATCCCGGTTAGGTTTGTAGGCGCCAATGCGCGTTTTGCGCTGGCTGCCCGCCCGCCGCGCCGCAGCGTACCACGGCGCTTGAA